GGAGATTCTTTGTCCTTTCTTATACCATTAGGAATATGTATACAAATTTCATAATGATCGAACAAGTTGTTTCGGAGTGAAGACGTAACAAATAAACTTACATTCACATTTATAATATTGTTAATAAATATAATGTTATAATAAGATAAAATATGATTTTGTATGTAAAGTCTTTTTCAATAAAGTTGCCTTTTTTTAATTTTCGAACTTAGCGCTAAGAATTTTTTAACACAATTTACAAAAATATTTCTGTCAAATTATTTTTCTTTCGTTGTGAGTACCTGTAAATGTTCGAAAAGCGCCTTTTTATTTATCGGACATTAATTACTAAAAAACCCTGCAAAGTGGAGTGGCAATTATGAAAATCAACTCACTTCTCCAGGATACTCGTAACTTGCTGGTTCAGCACTTATCATTTTTTCCTTCTTTAAAGTATTGTCAAACTTGTCTGTTGATGAAAGAAAATACTTTTCTTGCAGTATTAAAATAATATAAAAAATTTGTGTGAATAGCTTTACTTTAATAATAAAGCAAAGGCAATGCCGTGACATTTAATGGAAAAATGTGCATCTCTACGTCCTCTATTTACGTATGTATACGAGTCCACATAGGACATGGTATGTTATCAAATATCATAAAAAAAATATATGTACATATATCTGTTTAATAAATGGCTAACAAAATTAACTTATATATGCAACAAGTAAAATTTCGAATAGATTTGTAAACAGCGTATAACACATTTTGCCAAAATACCCGTATTTAGCAAAGATAGCAACCACTGTGTACAGTGCCATTAAAACTGTTACGAAAATATAATCAGAGAGTTTTAATTTTAAGAATTTAAATTAATGAAAATATTTGTGGAGATGAAAATTTAAAACATCACAAATAGAACGGAAAACCATCATTGATGGCATTTTTGTTTTTATGTGTTTTTTAATATGTGCATACTAAATATCTTGATTAAGTGGGAGTCTTTTTATGCACTGCCATAACTAAGCACCAAATAAAGATACAAAGCTCTAATTTAATGCAGGCGATCACAGTAAGGATGGACACCTGTGGACTTAAAATACTTCAAAAGTGGATTTGTTTTATGAACATAACGTTCAAACCGCTAAATCTAAATTAACCAAACTTTCTGAAAATACTTACTTTTAGTACTTCTTAATATACTGTCGGTAAAATCATACAATAAACACGACCATTCCCCATATACCGGTTATGTTGAAACCACCGAAAGTGAGGCAATTCATTGAATAAATGCTCCACCAGCATTGAATTTCACAACCAAGATGATCAGAAAAAGGCTTTATAAAAATTGGACCATAGGCGGGTTAGTGCCCATCTTTAGGAAAAATCCTATATCTTAGGAACTACTTGACCAATTTCAATCAAAATCAAAATATTTGGTGTGTGAGGCAGCATTGCGTGTACACAATGAAAATAGGTGTGAATGGGTGACAACCAAGCTAACTTTCCATCTAAAAAATTGTTTAAATCATTTTGTTTTTGTTATTACACTGGGTCAAATAGTGCTCCCAAGGTATTTCCTCTTAGGTCCAAAAAGTTAAAATCGAACCATTTAAACCATGATATAAAATCCCAAGCCCTCTTTACGTCACATAAACAAATTGATAAGAATAAGAAATGAAATCGGTATTTTCCAACCCTCGATTTGTTTGGGCTAAGGGCTAAATAATGATATCACTAAACCTAGAATAACCAAATTCATCCAGCTCAAATAATATAAGAACTGCTACCGACCTTGTGAAAATGGATGAAATCGGATGATGATCTCACTCACCCCCATATATCGGTACTGTTGAAAACTATTAAAAGTTTGATAAGGCTTTATTGCAGCCCGCGTAAAAATTAGACGATGGGCCGTGGTACCGCACTACTTTTGTAGTAATAGTAGTAGTACTCAGTACGTAGCATTCCTCTTATATGCCGCTATCACAGTGCGAAAATGGGCAAAACCGGACCACAACCTACTTCACGAACTTCCCTAATAACACAATTTTAAATTTCATTTAATTGCTTTAGGGATAACACTTTCTTCTTCTTCTTGATTGGCGTAGTCACCGCTTACGCGGTTATAGCCGAGTTAACAAC